CTTGTATGGAGATTTTTCCATCTACAGATTTTTCCCTGACCTTCTTTTCTCTGTAAATTAATGGTGCACACTATTGCTGAAAAACACAATCACTACCTGGCAGTCAGTATGCACAAAGGCACAGATCCCTAAACAAGATCATATCTGCAGATGAAACTTTTTTTTTGTAGAAGCATTTTTTTTATTTGGACTAGCACCTCATGACTACACCACGTTATGTACGAGAAGCTGCAAAAGACACAGGCGCAAGTGGAATGTACAAAACATGGTGACATAAATTTTTAAGTAAATATAATGGGCGATATATTGCGTCACCAAAAATTATTGAGGTCATGTACATATATTGCGCGATAAGTCGATATATTGATTATTGCGACAGGCCTAATCCACACGACAGCTAACTGACAGTAACAACAGCAGCAGCAGCATAAATGAAGCCAGTAAAATGCAAAACAATGATAATATTTTAATAATCACCATAAAATGGCATGCTGGGAACTTGCACAATAGTGTTCAGTGTAATGTTGTTTGTTCAGATGACTCAATTTAGAACATTTGGATATGTTGTTAACAAATACTTGAGTATCTAAGTAAGGTAAACAAACCAACTTTTACAAGTATTCTTGTTCAGGTCACACAAAATAATAAACTGACCTCCTACCAAAAATTCTTTGTTACAAGCTACTTTCTTACATTTGCAAGTTGGATTTTTTTACGGTGTTAATAAGTCACAAATGTGAAAAATAAAGTTGCATTTACATCACACGATTGTGAATTTATTTTTCAAAATTGCGACTATACCGCAGTGTGATTTCATATCAGCACTTGCACGTTTATTTCTTGTAATTGTAACATATCTTGCAATTGTGACGTTATTTCTGTTTTTCAAAACAGAATTGAGACTTTATATTGTGAATTTATTTTTATGCACGTGAACATAAAAAATACTTTACGCAAGAAGTGCCTTATGTTTTAAAATTGTGTCGTCTTGTAAATGCGACTTTATTTTTCACAATTGTAACTTTACATTGTTCAGTGTGACTCCAAATCTTGCAATTGTGACAATATTTCTTGTAAATGCGGCTGTTTTTCGCAATTGTGACTTTATATTGTGCAATTGCAAGTTTTTTTTATATATATAATTGTGACATATCTTTTCATTCTTACATTTATTTGCATATGTGACTTTATATCATGCAACTGCGAGTTTATTTCTTGCAATTGTGACTAACATTTCACAATCTCACAATTCTGTTTGACTTTTTACTCAAAGGCAGAAACAGGCTTCCATATTATATTATGACCCTTTTATTGATTGTATGTATTAAGTTGTAGAACATAAAAGCCTCTTCAGGCAAGTTAACAAACCTTCTATTATCCACAAACAGAAAACTCCAATAACCTTTTCAAAATTCCATTCTCATGTCTGTAAAATAATTCATCATGTGGTCAAATATCACTGGAACCATAAATACTGTGGAGCTACAAGACCAGTGACATTCCTTGCTGTGCCGGTGTTATCAGTTCCCTCTGCATTCCTAAGGGAGGTGATAAAGAGCCTGTGAAGAAGAGAAGACCAAATGCCACCTCTGCATTTTCTTCAGATACTGAAGCACACAACTCCATACTTGCATTTATCATTCAGGGTTATATACAAGCTGCATTTTTCATTTTACTGTGGAAGACATTTAATCAACCAGACATCCTAACTGGGAAATCCTTTCATGTGACAAATGGTATGGCTAACGGAGTCTGCCAAAATCACCAGATGTCTAAACAAGCAAATTAACACCAATCAGATTAGAGCTACAGTATGTTTCTGGTTTCTGATTAACCCCTGCGTGACCTATTGTGTGTTTACCATTATTCACACTGATAAAAACTCAGACTTTGTCTCAGTCAGTACCAGACCCTTGATTATACTGTTTAAAATAGGACTAATTCATTCACTCTTTGTCGATTAGCGGGTGTTGCAGACTGGTTATGTACGTCACGTGAAAAGCAGGCTGCTCTACACTAATGCAACACATATGCATGACCAATGACTCCTGTTAAAGACCACAGAATTTCATTTGGATAATTTATGAGGTCACGGTTGAGTGAAATATGAGACTAGCGCGGAGCTGTCGGCGGTTACAAACCGGCAAATAGTTTTACACAATCTACAGGAAATTAGTGAGTTGTGTTTTACTGTTTTTTCAGAGGGGAAGATTATTTGTGTTGGTTACTATGAGCAAATTATGCTTGTGAGGCACTGTAACATATCCAAGTCACACCCGAAACCACAAGCGTGTTTAATAGTTTTCCCTGTTTAATTAGAAATGGATTATAATGTAATCCACATGAAGGATTTTACATGACTTGTTTTTGATTGTGGCGCAATAATCAAATGAGATAGGAATGCTTCATTGTCTCCGTAATGCTGCAGTGTTTACTGCCGGGAAATGATGATTAGTAATGTCTTAGTTGATGTGATGCAGTGCTATGTGATCTCATTGCCCGTGATTTTCAAAGGTTTTATTTCCTAAGTGTGTTGCTGTAAAGCTCATAATTAGTACCAATCAGAAGTGTGGACACACCTACTCATTCTTTATGATTACTATTTTCCATATTTTACAATAATAGTAATTAAGACTATGAAAAAACACTGATTGGAAGCATAGGGTTTATGTAACGAGCAAAATTGTTAAATCTTAAATTTTGCTTCTTCAAAGCAGCTACTCTTTACCTTAGAAACAGCATTCTCTCAGACAAATGAGGTAACCACTTGCTTTTCCAACAGTTTTAAGGCTGGTTCATGCAGAACATATGTTTGTGTTCCACTGCAGCTTTTTAACTGTATTTCTATGTAAACATATGGTAAACAGACACAAAGTGATTTTTAACTCTGTAAAGCCTGACATTAATTTATACACAGAAACATTTTTAAGTTTTTTTTTTTATTATCATACCTTTACACAGAATCTAAAATGAGTGTTTGCATATGTTTTTGTTGAGTATCATATCTGATACATCAGGCTTTTATGGCTCACATAGTATGATATAGTGAGAATATGGAGCACACACACTTGTGAAGGACAAAAATACCTTATTTATAATGAGGACCAAACTGAGCAAAAATATGCCATTCAGTGCAGTTATGATATTTAGCTGATATTTATACGGCCAAAAAGTACAATGAAATTCTGACAGCTTGTAAATCAATGAGATCTTTATAACAGTATAGCAGACTTACATAAATGCAAATAAATATTATTTGACCCTATGTATCTCTCAATAATTTGCCTTAGCATTTACTGTAAATATTATTTTGCTATGTTTTATAACCGAACGCTTTAGTTTGTATTGTGGGGGGAAAATATATATATAATGCAGTGCAATACAATGATGATTGAGAGAAGTACAAATAAACATCCCTCAAAAGCCTGACTTTAACATGCTTTTTCTAGAAAACAAGTGTATGGATAATCAAGT